ACATAATAATATATATATATATATAGTGTGTGTGTGTGTGTGTGTGTGTGTGTGTGTGTGTGTGCGTGTTTTACATCTATCTGTTTATGTATATATCTGTATTGATTTGGTTGATATATATATATTGATATTTATATATGTGTGTCTAGGGAGGGGGCGGGGGCGGTCGGCTCAGATGGTATTGAAAGATGGAAGTGTGTGTGTGTCTTTGTGTGTTTATGTGGTATCAATATGCGTTTGCATGTGGATATGCAGATGTGTTCCTGTGTATGTATATATACACATATATATTTTTTCCTGAATATATGGTTTTGAAATAGGACAACTCCGATCTGTGTGATTACGTACTACCTTGTATGCTCGAATATTCACTCATGCACAAAGAGTCAATTCCGCGTATATATGTGTGCTAAATACATAGACCGTAAATGTACGATCTGGAGCAGATGCACATATTGAGATATAAATATCGTTGTCAAGTGCATAGATGAAAGCGTGTCCACATGCATGAAATATGCGCAAAGAAGCACGTACTCGGGCATTCATATACACACCTGAAAGCACGAAAGACAGCCAAACATTTTTGCCCATGTGAGGTATTGTTGTACATATGATGACGACGAAATCTATATATAGAACTGATACTCAAACACATGTTCAGTAGTACGTTCCTGCACTTAAAGGTGTACAAAAATGCATATCAAATTTTGTGGGTATATGTAGCCAGCCTACCACAACTTAGATATCATCTGCGTATACACCCGAGACACTGTGAGATATACACATACACACACTTACGCATAGAGAAAGCATTACGATCTATTTACTTTCGCGTGAACTGAGCTTATCGATATTATCTACTGATTTTCCCATCCATTCAATCTAAACCCATTCCTCATACAGACAAATTCGAACTCCTCCGTGTGCTCAATGTCGAGAGAAATGCGTTAACGTCGGTGCCTGAGGAACTCGCACAACTGCAGGAGCTGGAGAAGCTGTTTCTCTCCCACAACCGATTGTTCTTCTCCGAACTGAATCCGGCTCTTGGGACTATGGCAAATCTTAAGCATCTGGAACTGTCTCACAATCAGCTCGGGTATGTGGATATAGGTTTGTGTCATGTATGGACAATACATCTAAATGTACAGTGTATAGCATAACCGTAAAAGTCATAACACACTCAAGTGTGTTAGGATGTGCGTACGTTCACCTCGTATTATCCCAGAAGACTTTTAAGATGGGTACTCGAGAGGCTCTCTAAACTAAGGTGTTGCGTCTGAGTTTTTCTTCGTCCCACATCCGGCTATGTAGGCATGCCAGTTAGAGTGTAAGTTAGTTTTATAACTGTAGGCTTCAGAACATATCAAAGAATAGACATCCCAAACACTTATGCTTTATCCCGCTCTCTCTTTATCGTAGTTCTCTGCCCGATTCCTTCGCTGGACTGGTTGGTCTGGTACGTTTGGACATATCACGCAATGACTTCAACATGCTCCCAGAAGTACTGTGCCAAATCCCTAGCCTGCAACACATCGATTTCAGCTGCAACAAGATTAAGCTGATTCCGGAGGAGATCGGACTATTGCACAATCTCAGGACGCTTGATCTACATGATAACCGAATCCCACGGTATGTATCTGTTTTGTACATATTATGTACATGTTATGTACATGTTATGGACATGTTAAGTACATGTTATGTATATTTTATGTGCATTTTGTATACATGTTGTATACATGTTACGTACATGTTATGTACCCTCAGTTGAGTAGAATGATTTAGCACCTTACTGTCGGAAAATGTGCATGACCAGCTATCAGAGGTGTCAAGTAGCTACTGGACGCAAATGGCTATTGAAATAGGTGTGCTTGCTTCTGGGCCGTGGACGTACGGATATATACGCTATAGAACGGCTATAGGGTAGCAGAAATCACGTATTCATGTTCATCAAAGTATAGTTTGAGTAGAACTCCTTCCGAAACAATGTTTTGAGTTGTGTGTGCCGTCCGTTATTACAATTAGTGCTTAACCTCAACCACCACCGCTTCGATGCCTTGCGATTCAATAGGTCATGAATAGGGCTCTGTATGTGGTATGTTAGTGGACCGTATGCTTTTCAATTAGAGAGACCAGCTAGTCTCTATTCCAGCCGTGCTTGCGTTCGAGAGTGATAGTTACATCGAATATGCTGCATGGTTTGTGGAAACTCGCAGTCGCAACATCCCAGTCTTGAAACGCAAACACCATCAATAAATTGTCTCAGCACAAATCAGTATGTGTCCTAATAAATAGCAAAGTAGTTGTGCAGTACAATTACGGCAAGTGATATCCCACACAACGTACGAAAATATACACATCACAGGCCCTCTATCCCATCTCAACGTTCAAGACTATACGCAAACCACAACTGAACCAACGCTACACACTGTTGCAGACTTCCGGTCGAAATTGGGGAGTGCCGTGAGATGCAGAGTGTCAATCTGTCGCTCAACCAACTGGCCGAATTGCCAATCAGTGTGGGCAACTGGGGCAAGCTCAAGGTCATCTCATTAGAGGACAATCAGATCAACGACCTACCTGGCACGGTTATCAAATGGGGGGAAGTCGAGGTGTGTAGTTTGTGTGCGGTGTTGGCAGTCGCATACGCTGACAACCTACCAAAAAGCCACCGCTGTTAGGGTTTAGGGTTTGGGGTTTTAGCTCGAACCAATTGTTCGGATCACAGTGCCTCTGACAGCTCGATGTGGTAAGGACTCAAGCGCGTAAATCAATCACGACACTATTTGAAGTGCGGACTAGATTGTATTTGAGGGAAGCTTGCATCCAAGGCTCAAGGCATAATGGCTGACCAGGCGTAGCTAGTAGTTATAAGTTTAAGATATGTTGCCTAGCCTACTGTACTGAGCGTTATTAAATCGAGGATTGATTTCTGCACTTTCTCGACCCAAAATCTGCGTAAGCAACAGGGATGGACCAACAAACGAAGTCGCTTCGTCTGTAGGAAATCAACATAGTCCGTACAAATAGTATTGCATCGACTATCAATAACCTTATCTCTGACCATGTACCACTCCAGACTGTCAACCTACGCAACACAAAGCTGACTGAACTCTCCGACGATGTGGAGTATTGGAAGAGCCTGGTCTCACTGGCCTTCGGCAACTTGAAATATATGCAGGAAATTTCAGGTATGCGCATGCGTGTTTTTATGTACATGCGGATACTTCTACCTAGCATACGGGGGGGTTTTTTTAGGGGTTTAGGTATGTTGAACTATAGGTCAGGTCTACAACCCTGTGCAAGTGTACGTAAATTCCAGTACTTGGACTACAGCGCAATCCTATCAATAAATGACAACCTAGTTGCGAGATGTACTAGTCCTAGTATGTACCCCAAATTGGTGACTTTAAGCCAAAGATGTGACTTTACAGATACTATCTCCTGCACTCTACTTCGAGCTGCATGTATAGATTAATATATGTATACTTTCCGGCTCACACCTGATCATAAGCATAAACACTCTACTTGTCCGAACTAATTCGGATACATCTGTGTGGATGTATAACATTATACTTACAGCCAGCATCGGAGAGTTAACGACGCTCACGCACTTGGACCTGTCGCAAGGGCAGCTAACCACTCTGCCCGAGGAGATTAGCCAACTGTGCAACCTCAAGTGGCTGGATGTATCCAAGAACGCTCTATCGCATCACACCTTCCCCAATGAGGCACTCGGCAAGCTAAAGACACTGCAGGTGCTGAACCTAGGGTATGCTACACGTACACGCTTAAGGGTATGCTACACGTGCACGCTTAAGGGTAAGCTACACGTACACGCTTACGGGTAAGCTACACGGACACGCTTAAGATTGTAGCACTAACCAACGCCAAGGCACACACTACACTAAGATTGATCGGTTTGTCAGCCGTCTTATCTCTATATGAAACTAGACTCTATGAAGGTAGCGGTCAGCGTTGATTGAAAAGTGCTCTACCACCTGTTTGTTGAAAGTTCTGGTTCCGAGACATTTCCAAGCATTTGTTTCAGGCGTAGTACGCTGTACACTTTATGTAGACTTGATAGAGTGCTTACAGACCCTCGTATGAATCCACTAGCTCAACAGTTGACCGATACTAACTAATATGCATTCAACAGATACAACAAGACCAATAGATACTAACTACTATACATTCAACAGATACAACAAGACCAATAGATACTAACTACTATACATTCAACAGATATACATTCAACAGATACATCAAGACCAATAGATACCAACTACTATACATTCAACAGATACAACAAGACCAATAGATACTAACTACTAAACATTCAACAGATACAAAAAGGTCAATAGATACTAACTACTATACATTCAACAGATACAACAAGACCAATAGTTACTAACTACTATACATTCAACAGATATACATTCAACAGATACAACAAGACCAATAGATACTAACTACTATACATTCAACAGATGCAACATGACCAATAGATACTAACTACTATACATTCAACAGATACAACAAGATCAATATCATTCCCGATGAGCTCTACCAACTGTCAGAATTACAAATATTGTATCTGGAGGACAACGGAATCATGATGCTGGATGATGAAATCGCCAATCTGAAGCAGTATGTTGTGTGTTAGGCACACAGTTACTGCCCTAGCATTTAGTCTATGTGTAGTCGTCTAGGACTAATGACCGGTTTAACACAACAGTATGCGTATGTATTTGTTTCGAGCGCATGGTTTCGCATTGAATTTGTTCTTCCCCAGCTATATAACTAAATGAGAGAAACGGCATAGCCCAGTCATCACTCACATATACACAACCCGCCCTATACATTAGACTGCGCAAGCTTCACCTAGCATTGAATTTGCTCGTGAGTGTCACCGATGCCTTTGGAGAGTTGACCAACCTCGAAGTGCTGGAGGTGAGAAACAACGAACTCGGCCACCTGACACCAGAGATAGGTAAGCTGAAGAAATGGCTTTGCAATGAAGTCTCTTGGCCAGTATATTGTTATACATCAGCACGATTATGTAGCTTCAGTAGATCAAGCTCTTCTACATGCGTGTGAAACTGTATGTCTCAAGGAATCCATCGACATGTCAGTCAGCTTATTAAACTTTTTCTGTGTACTATTGGCGACAACGGTAGTTTTGACCCACACCTACACCCGAGCTCTTACATTATTATCATATGCACTTACCACCTATAGCCATACACTGACACTGTTTACATATACACTTACCACCTACAGCCATACACTGACACTGTTTACATATACACTTACCACCTACAGCCATACACTGACACTGTTTACATATACACTTACCACCTACAGCCATACACTGACACTGTTTACATATACACTTACCACCTACAGCTATACACTGACACTGTTTACATATAAAACTACCACCTATAGCCATATACTAGCACTGTTTAAATATACAATTACTACTTACAGCCAAGTGCACAAAGCTGCGAAAGTTGGATGTGAGTAACAACAAGCTGGTAGAGCTTCCCGTGACTATGCATCGATGTGTCCAGCTATCGGTATGGGAGGAGTCTGTGTGTCTGTATCTCACTTGGTATAACGATCGATGCTTTCCTGCTGCTCTCGAAAGAATCAGGTGTTGAATAACCCGCTGATATTTGAGAATCGGATTTTGAATCACCCTCTGGTATTTGGTATTGCATATGCTGTATACAATGCAATATAGCTGACATTTTCATGATTCATCCGTGTAGATCTTCGAGTTCAAGGACAACCAACTTCTAGTGCCACCAAATCCAATAGTGGCTGCTGGATTCGATACTATCATGACATACCTCAAGTCGAATGATCCGACCTGGGTAAGTTCCAACCACACATTGGCGAATCGGCTTGTCGCTTGTATTTGATTAACCTACACAGCCGTAGTTTTATAGCTCACGAACACCGATGCTGATATGGAGCTTGGGATTGTGACTGGGTTTTTCTTTTTGTACTGGTCGATGTATCAGGTCATGTACTGTCGTGGAGTGCATGGCTACTTGTATTTGACTTTTAGTCACATTTCTCTTCATATTATCTGCAAATGTGCACTTGGCAGTCTACAACTGTATCGGGCAGTCTGAGTAGATACTTAGGTGACAGAACCAGAACGAATATATAACTATATATAGATCTTGGAATCGAATCCCCTCTTTGTATACTTGACACTCTTCAAGTGCAGGGGGTCGATATACATTGACTCGAAAATCCACTCCTCGATATGTCGACGTCCTGTTGTGTTTGTCATAACGAAGTACTTGACATAGAACCTCTCATATAGAGTCTATTCCTGCTGACAACTGAATGGAGTACCTTTGTTCAACTTTTTTGGCTGTCAAATTCACCAGGATGAGAAGGAGGAGAAAAAGAAGGCAGAGATGCAGAAGAAACAGAGCCGTGCTGCGATGAAAATAGCCCACAGTAATTTTTCAGCGTCAATGAAAGGTGTTTCGCCTACAGAGTCGACATGTGATACAGAAGAGAATAAAGCTATCGAGGTAAGTCAAAGGCAACCAACCGTTCACGATATCATCCCAAGAGTCCATTTTTAATCCCTACGTTTGTGAAATATTTTGAATAAAAGGAGTATCATGCAAGGAGTATCATGCACTTGCCAGCCCGTGTATTTTGTTCATTCATGCCCAGGTGTAAATATTTTTTTCGTTTGTTCATGTCCATGTGTATGTTTTTATTTTGTTTATTCATGTCCATGTGTATATATTCATTTCACTATTGGCAGAAGCGCGAGTGTTGACTGCTATACTCAGAAACTGTGTCAGACATTTCGCATTCTATATCACGGAAATACAGAGCCGTATGTTGGTTGATACATCTGTGAATCTCCATCCTTATTGCGACTGAATGTATACAAATCGCTTCCTCAACAGAAGCAAACGTCCACTGTCGCTACTGAAAATGCTGAAGCACACTCCGAGGCAGTGGACTCCAAAAAGTCTGCTACGGATTCTATTGAAGAGGAAACAAAAATTACGGCTGATCCTGAGTTGCAACCCGCTGAAGCTTACGAGCTCATTGCCAGCATGGAAGCAGACACTGCCACTGGTAAACAGACAGACGATGTTGAAACAGACAAGGGTTCAGCTGAGACGCATGGGAGTGTAGCTGCACCATCAGAGACACGTGAAGCCGTGGCGGTGAGGGTCCAACCACCGGCGCCTGTGAGGAAGGACACTGTGGATGATCTGTTAGCTGACTTGGCCGATGTGCTGCCAGTGGACAGCCCTGTGAGTGTGAGCGGTCCAAAGACGGTGAACGCAGACACCGTGAGTGCGTCGCCTGGTGATGGGGCGGATATAGCGTTATGTCAGGGCGAGTAGATAAGCACGGGCAAACGTTTTAAGTACGTGTAAGTTCGAACCGATGCATTACAAAGAGGTATACGTCGGTAGAGTGCGCATATGCAGGATATGGCATTGAGGTTTGATACCAAACAGTGTCCGCGTTAGCACTAGAGCTAGAGTACGCATGTGCCTCTGCCGTTGACCACAAGCAAATGGTGGAGGAAGGGATGGTTTATCGCTACGAACAGGTTTCGAAGTATTAGTACGATGAGAGCAACTTCCAATTATATAGTGCGCCTGTGACATATAACATTAACGACAATAATTTTACGACACTATGATGAGCTTTTGCAGGGTGTCCTTTGCCTGCGTTGCAGAAGCTTGTTTTGTTCGTTCCAATAGCGCAATGAGGTCTTTCTGTTAGCCTCGATTGCTCATTCGGCTTATTCCAATCCTAATAAACATTATTTTAAATGAAATTCTCAACTTCTAATTTCGCAACGTAACCTAATTTTTACTAAACCGTTAGGCCTAGACACATGACCAAATATGCAATATATACACGTGTACAGGTTTCGAATTACCCCTTACGTAAAAATATATATTATATATAGATAAATACATATGCATATACAGATACAGATATATATATATAGAGAAATACATATTCATATACAGATATAG